CGGAAGAGATTCAGGAATGATGTAAATCCAAATGAGTTGTGAAGACAGAAATAAATTATTTTACAGGCTAGGAGATTAGGAACTGCTGCTTCAACTTGCTTAGGCTGAAGTCTCAGCTGCAACAATCATTACTCTGGGACTTCTACGCATGTTCCAAGGATGGGGCAATTCAAGCTGCATAGCAAGTTGGACACTACGTGAGCAGGCAGATGTGTGCTAGAAGCACACTTACTCTCACAACTGACTTTCAGTTGGATATCCTGCTCCTGTATGTGCTGGGCACAGTCACAGCTGCAGGTGTTTCCTTTCTTCATGGTTTACTTTTCATCTAAATCTAAATGCAAAGCAACTGTATTTTCTGTTTCATTGTAAGCCATCTCTGAACTGTTTTTTTCAGGTTGGAGCCATCCCTGCAAATGCAGCTGATGATGGACAGTGGTCGCAGGGACTTATTTCCGCTGTGAGTAACTACTTCTTTTAAGGAAAACTAGCACCTTCTCTGAAGAAATAATATCCTATGAGAATACACGGTGACTGGTTTTTTTACTGTCTTGTAGGCCCGAATGGTGGCAGCTGCAACCAGCAATCTCTGTGAAGCAGCAAATGCCTCGGTACAAGGCCACGCTAGTGAGGAGAAGCTCATCTCATCTGCCAAACAAGTGGCAGCTTCTACAGCGCAGTTGCTTGTGGCTTGCAAAGTGAAGGCTGATCATGACTCTGAAGCCATGAGGAGGCTACAGGTACTTGTGTTCTTAATTGCTGAAAACTAATAGCAGTGCTATGTAAATGCTCTTTTAGCACTGCATAAACAAACCCCGAATTTTAGGAATAGCTTCTTGAATTTTCAGAATTCTGTTCAGTTTTTCTTTCTTGTGGGATTCTGGGGCGCTTGCACTCAAGGACGAAGTGATTGTGCATTTGTCATTCAGCAGCAGCTACAGCTCACTTCACTGTTTGTGTTATTCTTCATTTTTAAAAGATGTTGAGAGATGCAAATGTTGACTGGGGTGTGCCAAGCCGTGGTTTAGATGCAATATTGGTAGATTCATATTCATGATAAGCCACAGGAATACATGAGCTGAGAATGTTTACTACATGCATTTTTATAGTGGTTTCTCTGCAATTGTTCTGCATTCAGTTAGACTCCCGGTAGGCTTGCAAACAGGTAAGCACACTTAACTTGGTTGCACAGGAGTATCCTCCTGACCTCTGCAAGATTAGGCATACATTCAACGAAGTACTTGCCTAAGTGCCAGCCTGGGTTGTGGTCAGTTTTACTTTGTTTCTAGGAGTCAAGAACATTTGTCAAGGACATACTGTAGATAGAACATTTCTAAAATGAGAATCATTGTCAGACAAAACCAAGAACAGAAGCTGATGCAACATCTCAGCTAAAGTCTGATTTAACTTACATAAGACTGGTTCCCTTTTACGTTACACATCCATTTCATGTTGAGCTTCTCTGAACTATTACTGAATTAACACCATGTTATGACAGGTAAAATCCAGTGTCTCCAGAAGTTTTGTTTGAGGATGTGTGTTTTAAAAATGTCTACAGCCTTCTCTGACATCCTATCCTGCAGGCTCAGCTGGGAATGAAAGAATTATTTCAGCTCCTTTTTTCATACCATCAACATGGATTATCTTTGGTGATAGTAAAATTTCCCCTTTCTCTCTCATTTGCACAGATGCTGCTAATGGACACTCAATATAACAGTTCATATATGGATAGGTAGAATCAAGTCCAACAGAAATACAGATGACTAAGTGTCTGTCGGAGCAAGAGGAATTGATGTCGTTATTTTTTTCAAAGCAGAAAATGGGTTAAATATTTAGGAAGGAAAAAATAAATGTGTGAGTGTGTGAAAAATCTGTTTGCTTCTATAGAAAACAGTGGCGTGTTAATGTTATCGCTAGTGATGAGATGGTTTTAGTGCTTTATAGTGGCCTCATACAGATCGACTTTGTCAAGGGTCTGTGGGGGATGTGTCAGTAACTGGAAGATTGTTCTGACTGTAATGCAACCTACACTTTAATATCCAAATGTCAGGATGGGTCTGAAGGAATTTTAAACACAGAACAAACAATAGAAATGGGAACAAAAATGAAGTACTAGAGACTGTGTTTTCTCAGCTCTGCCAGGAAATTCAGCGTACTTAGTCATTGTAGGCAAATACTATTAAATAGACATTGAATGTGAAAAGTTGGACGGGAATGTGAAAAGGAAACAACCCCCAGCAGGGACTGAAATTGAACTTTGCCACTTAACCAAGCTTCATGTTAGTCCTAAAATGAATAATGAAGGGAAAAACAATTTGCACTTGGAAATAATGTCATTTATCAAGCAAAACTCATGAGTTGATGTCTACTAAATATTTTTACTGATGGATTTGCCAAAACTACTGAGAACCCCAGCACAAATGTTTTCACATAGCTTTAATCAATAGGTTAGGTTCAGGAGTTTGAGTGTATTGGTTTTTCCTTTCCTACCTCACAAACAACTGTAGGCTTTGGGAGAAGACATTTGAACTGCTTTTTCCATGAATGCTAACTTGGAATGCACTATTACAGAGTCTGTTCAAAAATTTAATGAAACAAATGGAAATGTTTCTGTTCTCTTTGGATGAACTCCAGGCTGAGCAGAGCAAAATTTCAAATAATTTGTCCTTGGGTCATTTCAGGTGGGAAGAGAGTTAAGTTGAAAGGGAGATGAAGCTGGAAATATGGAATAGGACTGGAGGGTGAAGGGGGGGGTAGGTTCAGAGCTGGTCCATGTGGCTTCCCCTCCTAGTGCCAGTGTACCTCCAGCACGTGAGAGCAGGCTGTCTTGGCTAGTGGCCTGGGTGGGAATGAGCGTTCTCAGCACGTAACACCTGGGGACATCAGGAACCACGGGACAGAGAACTCTACTCCTGTTCTCTCTCGCTGCCTGTCACAACACTGCAAGTACCTACCATTTTTCCGCATGTTGTGAAAGCATTGTTGTTGTTTATTGGTGGTGATGACTGATTTGCTGTTAGATATGAGAGTTTAGGGTTTAATATGAAAAAAGCCTTACTGGATCAGACCAAAAGTACATTATGCCCAATCTATATCCTGATTCCAGCAGTGGCCACCAGGAAATGCTTAGAGGAGCAAGTAAGAACAGGGTAAGCATGCATGATACGATTCTCTGCTATGTTCTTAAGATTCCAAGCATTTTCAACTCGGGAACTTCCCAAGCCAGATGCAGATTCTGCATGTTTAGTAACCCTCAGTGGTTTTCTCCTCTAAATTTATCCAGTCCTCCTTGACCCCATGTAAACTTCTGGAGTCTACTTAACACTTCTTGGGCAGTAGATTAAGCTAGGACAGCTGTACCTATGTCTGTCCCAACGTGCTTCTGCTGGTTTAAATCCACACAGTACAAAGAGCTGAATGACACGCAGATCCACTCCTGTAGCAGCACACAGGTCTCAAATTCCATTTACAGGACAGGCACCTTCCCAGTGCAGGGGTTCTAGCAAGACTTAACCATTCATATGCTTCTCTTTATGAAGTATCCAGGTGCTTTTGAGAGTACCTGGTATAAAGTAATGCTTTGAGTAGCAACAAATTCATGTCACTTTGACCAGGCTAGGTTACTGCAGGAGTGTAGATAACATGTTGCTGCTTGTATCTCAGCTAAATTCTTCACGATTAAGTAAGATATCTCTTCATAGCATTCCACTGTGCACCGAAGACTTACCCATGGTAACAGGTGGTCTAGGTATTCCTCATGCTCAGGAGGTGGAAACATCTTTGAATGGTGCTCTGTCCCATTCTTTAAAGTTGTTTCTTTGCTAAAGCACTTGAAATACATTTGGAGGCCCACTGTCCAGTATTTGTATGTATAATTGAGGAGAAAACATATAGCTAGGTCCCCCAGTCCGTCCCTCAGAATGAGTGACCCATGACCCCTCTTAGCACTAGGACCACATCAGCCCAGAAGTTTCTTCTCCTGCCTCTGTCCTGACTTCGAACAGATAAAGGAGTGGAAAGGAGGACAATTCCAGTAAGAGCCAAGAAGGAGGCATAGGTCAAATTTTGGTGTATCAACCAATTTAAAATACAAAATATCAGACATAAGACTTATCTGAGACTCACAAATTTAAAGGACTGCCAGTGGTATATGAAAGATCTCATTTACACCTCCATGTGCAGTACCCATTAAACTCTGGACCATTCTTCTCTCAGAGCCAGCCTTCCACCACTTTCACCAGCTCTTAGTACACTGGAGCAAATTCAATGCCAGATCTTACGACGCTGAGCTCTATACTACCGTCACCTGTCTGCACAGGGTATTTCCTAGCCAATGATCTTCAAGACCTCAGTGCTTCAAATAACGTGCCAGCTTCATCTTTTAGCTTTAGTAGAAGAGATGTTTGCATTTTGTTTGTGACAAAGGTTGTTTGTCGACTCATCTCCATGGGCATCACAGTAGGAGATTCCAAGGCCGCTCCTCTGGTATCCTCCTCTGCATACATTAAACCAGTGCCTGTGGACATGGTCATTACTGAGCGTGCAGTGTGCAATCTCTACTGCCAGTGTGTATTCTAGGGTAGCAAAGATAGATGTTGTCAATGTTAGAATGCAGGTAACTTAGTTACCTTTTTCCTTTGAGGCACAATGGCTGATACTACTCAGTTTAGACAACAAAAGATGTATTACAAATGTTTGACTGTTTATCTTTAGAAATCTGAGAATTTTTAAGGAAATAGTTTAAATGTGAGATAATCATGGCTGTCTAAGTGGCTAATTGCCCCTGATAAAAGTCCATTAATTTAAAAACTTCATTGCCTTAAAATGTTTCTGTATACACTAGCTTTCATTTTCTGTTCTTCCTCAGGGAAAAAAAAAAATCTGATCAGTGTTGTACATAACATAACTTGCAATTTCATCTACTGTTTTATTTCAAACTGTAGGGGAAAAAAAATAATCTTGTTTGTGACTTTCCCATCTTCTTAAATAAAGGGATTGTGTTCCTCTCGGTACCACTGATTTTGAAAGATCAATTTGCTTTTCACCAGGAAAAACAAAACACAATACATCTTTCCTGTGTAGTCAAGCAAAGAGTTTTGATGCTTAGATGAATCCATGTTAGTTATGCATTTTTGTTATTGCTAAATTTCTTTTGTCTTTCTCAAAGGCTGCAGGAAATGCTGTGAAGCGAGCATCAGACAATCTTGTGAGGGCGGCCCAGAAAGCAGCATTTGGGAAAGCAGAGGATGACGACGTTGTGGTTAAAACAAAGTTTGTGGGCGGCATTGCTCAGGTTGGTATAATCACCCAAGAAGTTAAAGCAGAGAAAAACTGTCACAGAAACATAGCATAGTGTTACAGTGTCCATCTGCTGCATTGCAGGCTGGGCAAATCTATGTAGAAATCTGTGATAAATTACTTGATGCCTCACTGTCAGGTAACCACTGACATAACAGCCAAGTGATATGCTGTAAGATGTCTACACTTCTTCATTTAGCATTTACCATAATAGCGGTTACCATTGTCCAATATCTTTTAGTTTTGTCTTATGAAGTTAGTTGTTCTTCTCAAACTTCTCTTATGTACCTTAAATATTCCCAAATCTTAATGGATCACTAGTTTCGTATGTATGTAATAAAGAAATCGAGAGTTAGAGATAAGAACTGATGAAATTTCATTACTGTGACCATAATAAATATGAGGAAATAATAACAATATTTTAAAATAGATTCCAAGGCTTTGAGGTTGTACCTACTTCTGGATTCACTGTTAGGAATGAGGAACTTCATACACAGTGGTCACCACTTAAAAGATATTGTAACTTACCATTTCTGCATGTCTCTAGTACTGTCATTTTTCCTTTGGCGTTTTGAGATGCAGGAAAATACTGTGGCTACCTGCAGTAACGAGTGTTCAATTTTACTGTCACTGAAACATTATGTTAAGACATGGTGCTTATCCTACATGTACTAAGCCCTCACCCTGATGAATGTTAGGGGAGCACAGCACTATAAAATCCATCATGGATGTCTTGTAAAATTATGCTGGTAGATTGATTCTTTTTTTTCTTTTTTTTAGTCCTCTTTAAGAAACAAGTGGGGATACAATACTGTTCTTGATGGCATAGTCCTGGAACCTGGAAAAGTTTGA